TCTTCAATCGGCAGCGCTAAACCCGGAAGCGCATATACTTGCCATAAAAAGCCTGCTGATTTAAGGTTGAAAATGATGAAAATTTATATAAAAAAAAATAATAAGTAAATATTAGCATTTTATTTTAAGTTCACCATAAAATAATTATATTTGTATTTAATACTCATTTACATTACATTTACAATTCAAACTGTACTGTATGAGATTTCTATTCAAAAGCATAAATCTAGGCTACCCGCTGCCATTTTCAAAGCACAGTGCAAAACTGTGACATTTCATTCACTGACGCTCTTCAATCGGCAGCGCTAAACCCGGAAGCGCATATACTTGCCATAAAAAGCCTGCTGATTTAAGGTTGAAAATGATGAAAATTTATATAAAAAAAAATAATAAGAAGTAAATATTAGCATTTTATTTTAAGTTCACCATAAAATAATTATATTTGTATTTAATACTCATTTTTACATTACATTTACAATTAGACATTTAGCAGATGCTTTTATCCAAAGAGACTTACAAATGAGGACAATGGAAGCAATCAAAAATACAAGTGCTATAACAAGTCTCAATTAGCTTAATGCAGTACACGTAGCAAGGGTTTTTTAAATAATATAATAAATAGATAGAATAGAAAGAAAACAGATAGAATAGAAAAAGAATAGAGCAAGCTAGTGTTAGAGTATTAGTGTAATACTCCCTTTTTATTTTAAAATATAATAGTATTATCACACTTTATTATTTTGTTTATTATTTAATTAAAAAAATGAACAAAATAAAGTGCAATAATATTATCACTATTATTAATAAAATTGTTATAGTTATATTTAATGGGTCACACTATGTGCAGTGTGAGGACCAAACCAAATCTCCAGGTTCTCTTATGAGAAGAGGCTGAAAAACTTATGTGCACCCCTGATTATAGTTTCAATTTATATTAAATGCAATTAAAGTAACATTAGTCTACTTTTTGACGAACTTAGGTAGGACTTTCACGACCGTTGTTGGTTGCTTCGCATCGCACCACGCCGCAACATCTAGAGGCTGTCTACCCTGGATGTGACAAAACGACCATTTCAAATCATTTGTACTTTGTGCCAGTATGTAATAAAAGGAATGAGGCATCAGTTTACTGATGGGGTTTTGTTGTGTCGCGTCACACCACGCTGCATCCAGTGTAGACAGCATCACTGATTATAATGTTTTCCACCTCTGCTCACTTACTCACAACATAATTCATAATTGTGTGCTCTCTTTGTACACTTAAGTGACCTTTTATATTTCATTAATGTTATATTGTCTGTAAGTAGAGTTTCTTACATATACTGTTACGATTTGAAGTTCACTACAAGTGCACATTTTAAGCACACTTCTTTTTCACAAGGGTAGTTACTAATATTATTTAATATTATTATTATTATTTAAGTTAACCAATACTAATATTATTACTAGTATGAGTAATACAAAGGATGCCATGTCTACCATCTCTCTGCAACTTAGTCCTGGATTTCTTGAGCAAAAGCAGTCCAAATCTACACCCGAACGTTTTGGGACATCATATTTTCCAGTAGTGTGCTGCAGGGCTTTGTACTGAGCCCGCTGCCATAAACCCTGCTGACCCATGACTGTGCTGGCAAACATAAAGACAATCACATCAAGTTTGCTGATGTTACTACAGTTCAAGGACTCAACGCCAACAATGATGTGACTGCTTGAACACAAGGCCTAGTTCGACGACTACAACTGCTCTTTCAACATCAGCAAAACAAGGAATTTGACTGTTGACTTTAGGCAGCATAGCAACTTGTTCTTCTCTGCACATCAGTGGTGAAACAGTGCAAGGGACACTGTCTTCCTCATTTTCTAAAAATAATTCAGAAACTGCTTAACTGTATGTTACAGCCCTGTCCCTTTTTCCTTTGTCTTTTGTTGTGAGATTGCAGGGACAGAGGCTCCTCCTTGATGGGCGGGACTCCAGTGCTGATCATGGGCCGCACCTGTGGCACTCTATTTAAGAGGCTCATGGATTTTGGCTCACTCTCTCTCATTTTTTTTTTGTGTTCTTGTTTGAAGAGTGGGTTGTGTGTATCGGACACAGTGTTTACAGCTCATAAAGGCCCGGCATGATTGCTAATTGACTTATGCTACACTTGCATAACTACATTCTGAAATCTTTGTCAAACAGAGAATAGAAACGGGGATAATCATCAGTATACTATTAAACCCATTAGGCTCTTCACACTGACTTATGATATCAAAAATATACATACAGACATCTGTTGAAATTATATGTCTTTGATGTGTTTTGAATGCTATTATGCTGGTTTACCCACAAGGCAGCTTAACTATCTTAACCAACAAGACAACCATGATTTCCAAGCTTCTCCAGCAGTCTTGCTTCCTCATTCTTATAATACTTCTGTGAAGGAACTAAAGGACATTGGGGACATTCCCTCTGTCATGTAACACTACATTGAATTTTATGCAATTTAGAAAATAACAGTTATACATCTCTGAAACAAACTAGCACATGTAGTCTTGTCAGTTACACAATCTGGAGAAAACACACCATTGTGTGCATTCTGGAGTGTATCAAAATACAAGAAACATTGGGTTTGTCAGTCTAACTATGTCTAGCCAAGAGTTTTCTCCTGTCAAACCATAAACAATATGCAATATGGGCTGGTTTCATCTCCTGGGAACCACATATTTCATCATCTTTAATTACGGGAGGTTTTCCTGAGGTCGGAAACCAGAAAGGTCTTGAGGGCGAGGGCAAGACAGAGTGAAGTGAGAGGGACTCATGAAACGAGTGCCTTGGACAAGATAAACAGTTTTGCTCTTATCAGTAATTGCTCCGCAGGAGAAGGGCACGTCTCAACAGATGCTTCATGCGCACAAGAAAGTGAGCAGCACAAAAATGACGTAAATGACTTGTCCCCTCTCCAACTTGACAAGACTGCTGTTAGGAAATCTGCTTAAGTGGGAAAAAAAGCGATTAAGAGTGGGTCTGATTCATGTGATAAAGTTTGAATAGGATGTATATTTGGAATCAAATTTAAAATGTCTCAAATTTGGACCAAAACAGGCCTGGTTTTATTGACAGAGCCTTTTTTATGCCAGTGAACAGATCATTGTGTAAATATGAACATCCATGTCTGTTTATCTTGCATTGATTCTCAGCTCACTTTTGGTCTCCAGTTTCCACATTTAAATCTTATCTTTAGCCAGCCACTGAAAATAAACACTTAACTTGTGAAACAGCCGGAACTATGGATTTTCCATGAGATTTTTCCAACCAACTTTGTTGTATTGGAGAAAGAGAACTTTAAAGGGGTGTTGTAATGTGTTAGCTAGTCCTCTCCTTTTGATACAGTCTGTTCTTACTGTATAAAATAGATTTTTGCATTTTCTAAAGAAAATATGAGCATGCTTGCATGTACAAAACCTAGCAGCCAATGCCAATGCCAAGTGCTTATTTGGATGGTCAAGTTACTGGCCCAAGTCAAGAGCTCACTTACAACTTCTGATTAACCTTTAACATGGGATTGTTGTGCTTGTTTTATTTTCTAAGGTAGAAGTCTGATTGCTTTGAAATGATTTGAGGTAGTGATTAATGTCCGAAGAGTATAATACTTCGTCAAAATCCCAATAGTGATTCTTATTTAAAGGGTTAGTTCACCCAAAAATGAAAACTCCTTGCTATGTTTCTGGACGTTGATTGTATAAGGACCCTTGCGGTCTATGGGAGGGTCAGAGAGCTCTCAGAATTAATCAAAAATATCTTAATTTGTGTTCCGAAGATGAACGGAGGTCTTACGGGTTTGGAGCGACGTGAGGGTGAGTAATTAATGACAGAATTTTCATTTTTGGGTGAACTATCCCTTTAAGAAAACACCACTAGTTAATAATCACAGTACTGAAACCAAAGACACAGTTATGTCTCTTGCAATGACAAGCATTTGATCTTTTGCAGTGATTAATAACTCAACAGTCAGAGGTTTAAATGAGTGGCTATCATTTAAGAATACTTCAAATAAACAGTAGGATGCAGAAAAGATAGTATCATCTTAAAACTTTTATTGAAAATGAGTTCTCATAAAAAACACTTTAACTTAAGATACAAAAATGATATTTTGCACATTGCAAATCTGCACTGTTTACAATAACAGTAACAGTCATCTTGCACTCTATAAGAAACAAAACAAAACACACACAAAAAGTTCAGGAAGATCTCCGCAAGTGAAATGTTCATCAAAATGTCTTCTGTTTTATTTTCTAAGGTAGAAGTCTGATTGCTTTGAAATGATTTGAGGTAGTGATTAATGTCCGAAGAGTATAATACTTCGTCAAAATCCCAATAGTGATTCTTATTTAAAGGGTTAGTTCACCCAAAAATGAAAACTCCTTGCTATGTTTCTGGACGTTGATTGTATAAGGACCCTTGCGGTCTATGGGAGGGTCAGAGAGCTCTCAGAATTAATCAAAAATATCTTAATTTGTGTTCCGAAGATGAACGGAGGTCTTACGGGTTTGGAGCGACGTGAGGGTGAGTAATTAATGACAGAATTTTCATTTTTGGGTGAACTATCCCTTTAAGAAAACACCACTAGTTAATAATCACAGTACTGAAACCAAAGACACAGTTATGTCTCTTGCAATGACAAGCATTTGATCTTTTGCAGTGATTAATAACTCAACAGTCAGAGGTTTAAATGAGTGGCTATCATTTAAGAATACTTCAAATAAACAGTAGGATGCAGAAAAGATAGTATCATCTTAAAACTTTTATTGAAAATGAGTTCTCATAAAAAACACTTTAACTTAAGATACAAAAATGTTATTTTGCACATTGCAAATCTGCACTGTTTACAATAACAGTAACAGTCATCTTGCACTCTATAAGAAACAAAACAAAACAAAACACAAAAAGTTCAGGAAGATCTCCGCAAGTGAAATGTTCATCAAAATGTCTTCAGGATATGTCTACACACAGTGCAGCTTCTGGTCTCGCAAATGAACGTGGTCGGGGCTCCAAAAAGACCCCAATTTTGGCACTTGAAGTATTAAGTTCTTTTTTGGCCTAATGTTCAAGTCCACAGTGGAAGAAGCAACATCAGTGGAGCCCTTTGTTAGGACAAGGTTTTGAACGCATTACAGTACAGAGTCTTGAATTGCACATGCAACGCTTGATCCCTCAATAAACCATTTTGGAAGACAAGAGAAAAACAAAATGAAAACATAGGAAATCTCCCTGCGAGTAGTTATACAGCAACTACCATCCATAAAAAGTGCATTCAAATGAAAAACAAAACAGCCTCAACACTGGTACATTATATATACTGACACTGCATGATTTTCCCTTGATGAAAAATTTTATATTCTACATTTCTTCTTTACGTTTCAGTAACATAGAATAATATATCTCTGGAGAGCACATTAACTTAACCTCACGACCAGCATAAAATCAAACAAATGTGTTGAAGAATGCTTCCACAAATTAAATCTTTCTACCCCACAGGAAAAAAAAAAAAACGGAATGATATCGAAAATGATGAGCTAAATGCTAATGTTATACTGGGGACTAAAGGAAAGTACATGACCACAAATTGGGAAAGTTTGTGTGTGCTTAAATGGCTATAATGCGGCACAATCAGTTTGCACCTCAGCAGTTCTCAAATCAAGAAAGAGCAGCTCAAACACAATGAAATACAGCACGCCAAACAGCCTGTGTGCGCTCTTTCAGGCCCCCGAAACAGCATCAATAATATGACAGAAACACGTTTAACTTGAGTGATGCATGATATGAGGTGGCTGTCAGCAATGCAGGCACAAGAGAGCTCAGACTTCACTCCTTCTTCCTCTGAACTTCGACTAGCTCATCCTGCAAGAGGGGCCAGTCGGGCCCCAGAATCCTCCGCTTCATCTTTACTTTCACACATCCATACGACACTTCTCAAACCAGCTCTGATCCACATGGTGAAAGGCTGAAGTGCTTAGAGTGGAAAAGAAACCCATCTATGATGGGCAACAGTTCAGTTCTAGTGCTCTGCCAGCTTGGTTCAGCAGACAGGAAGCATGCGGGCGTTGCCGTTGTATTCCTCGTCCACCTGAATGAAAGAAGAACAAAAATTAGACTGATTTTATATTGATATCCAATAGAGACCTGCGTTCATTTTGTATACAGTCTCTTTACACTTACCTCAGAATAAGCAGGGAGTGGGGGGAACTGGAACTGGGGTGCGTTCATGAAGATGGGACTGTCTCCGCCATCATAGTCATCCAACAGAGGTGTGAGAGGTTGGTCCAGGCTGCAGTTGCGTGTAACGTCACAGTAGCTTGGTGGGGCAGACGACGGCATCCGCAGGGACACCCAACTATTCGATGCATTGCTGACAGAACCATCCTGGCTGCTCATGCTGTTGGTGCGGCTACCAAAACCATTGTAGGGAACCGTCCCAATGACTAAGGGCAGCTCCAGAACCAACTTATCACTGCCAGGGATGTGCATGTAAATCTGTAGAGAACAAAGCAGCTCTAAGTAAGTGCCTAATACTTTGGGGATGTTAACACCTTGCTACTATAGTTATTGTGAAAGGCAACACTCACCATGAGCGCATATTCCACCTGAATGATGACGCAACCCAAAATGGAGGGCTTGATCTTGGGCACACGGATGCTCTTGCCCTGCCAGGCGTCGCACATGCCGGAGATGATGTGGTTGCCACGTACTGAGGAGAGTTTTTGCCTGAAGACCTTGGTGCGCCCGTTGGCCTGGTAGGTTTGCTTGGCAATGATGGCTGCTTTGGGTACCACGATGCGAGAGCAGGTGTTCTCAAATTTGGCATCGATGCAGATCTCTTCACCTTCGCAGAAGCCACGCCTGTCGATTTTGGCGTTCAGAGAAACCTGGCCGTCTGGGATGAACATGCAGGTGACCTTCTTCTCCTTCATGCCTCCAGTAGGGGACTGTTGGGTGAAAAACAGAAATAGTGTGGACATGGTTAATTATTATGTTCAAGAAGGATGTTTTTCTAAACAGACAAGGAACTACCAACGATCAGAATTCGGAAAAGCCCAACCGGAAGTGAAGACATGATTTGTGGCCTACAGCTCATGTGCTTCTATAAGCGAATTAGTGAAATGAGGAACTCACCAGCAAGTCTGGAGTGTTGACATCCAAGGGCTCCTCAACCTCAAAGTGCTTCTTGCACTCCACGGCGGGCTGAGCAAGTCTTTCCATCAGAGCCTTCACGAAGTATTGAACGTACCCAAACTTGCCCTTGTAGGAAGACACCAGTGTGCCAGTGACTCACTCGGCTTGTTTACCACTTCAGCTGTTCATGTGGAAGCGGTATGCACAGCATGGCTCAGCGCATGCACAGCGCTCCCATTGGTCGAAATCCGGTGTTTGGGTCGCCACTGGCCAATCAGCGGCCAGAAGCGGCGCGTGGACACCTCGTGGCTGAGAGCGCAGAGCGAGTGCACAGCAGCTGCCGGAAGGGAGGAGGAGCCGGTGCGGTGTTGCCAAGTCCGCGGGTTTCACGCGGAATTAGGCTACTTTAAACACTGTTGACGCGACCCCAGTAAGGTGATATTTATCCACTGAGTTGCGAATTTTACCAGGGGGGAGAAAAGTGTATTTTACCCGCCGGAACGCGATTTTTTTTTAGAAGGGGAACCCCCTCGAAATGCCATTGGGCTAGTTTTGACTAGCAATTGGGCGGGTTTTGTTTGTGAACACCTGGCAACCCTGATGTGAGTCTGAAGATGAGAAGTCTGAACAAAGGAGCGGGATGTTGCAAGGGCATGGCCATCAGTTTAGAGAACCAATGACAAAATCAACAGTAAACTTTAATGTGTGGTGTGTTGCGTGCACCGTTTGTATGTACTAGAACAGTGAATCTCAACCTTTTGGCGTACCGGACCCCAGTCCAATTCAGAAGCATCCTCAAGGACCCCCAGAACAAAGTTGACTCGTATCATTTGTGTCTTTGTGAGGACCAAATGCAGTCAAGTATAATTCAAGTTAGCTGACTTGTCCAGTATTTGGCCATATCATCAGCTATATTGGATTTTTCTTTCATGGGAACATGTCAAAATATACAACATTTATACAAAAATGCATGCTTTATACGGACCCCCTGGCCTTATGTCAAGGACCACTAGGGGTCCACGGACCCCTGGTTGAGCAACACAGTTTTGAGGGAGGACAGAGGCGGTATTCCCCCGTCTTGAAGCCTCTGCTGGTACAAACTAGGTTAACAACATCCGCCGACTAATAAGAAAACACTTGACTCTGTTTCCAAGATTAGCTCGGAACAGCACACTACTCGTGCTATTAATGCACACCCTTGCTATTTATCTTTATCTGGCAGAAATAGTGTGCGGTTCAGCATAGCTTTGTATGATTTGTGATGTATTTGAGAACATTCTCAGGCACTTCTCAACATGTTTTTCAGAGGCCCTACACGACCCATTGGACCCCTGCCCTCGGGAAAGAGGGGGTTTTTAAATGTATTTTTGGATTCTGGTACTTAATATGTAGCTAATGTATGGATATGATATGAAAACATCTGAGTCATCATGTGGCCTTTAAAGGGGATGGTTACACGCCCTGGTGTACCCACCCAAACCTGGATGAATTCTGGTGACTCTTTCTTCCGGTGAGCATAAAAGAAGATATTTTAAAGAATGTGGGCAACCAAGCAGTTGCTTATAGCCATCGACTTCACACACACTCCCTTACAAACTCCTTTCTTGAGATATTTTCTGATAAATTGTTAGAAGTAATAATTAACAATGTGGAGAGCTCTTGAGATCACAAAAGGCTAATGCATATGTATGAATGGCTATGCGTGTATGAATATGAATAGCCTCTCTGGTGCCTGGACCTCCGTAAACATGCAGGCATTGCTCTAGCTCCATCTAGCATTTGAAGAAAAATGCAACTGAATTACATTTTATAGAATTTATGAGTGGCACAATTATTTTATTTATCAGATAATGTTTACATTATATTCTTGTTTTTTCTTCAGAAAGTGTATTTGAATCTGCAGAATGAAACAGCTGTGATCACATATTCTATAATAATACACACATATTCTATAATAATACACACATATTCTATAATAATACACTAAGCTGATTAAACAGGCTACACAATAATATATATATATATATATATATAAATACTATAGGCCTACTTGTCCAATGAATAGTTTTTAAATAATAATAACAACAACAACAATAATAATAAACAATTGAGTTATCAGCCATCTCCAGATGTCTGTGTTAGGCTGTGGGAAAATGCAGGCCTCTCTGCCTCGCTCTAATGGCAAAGACCCATTTCACGGGAAAGTGTTTTCTTCTCCACACATCTGCTCTGTTTACTGGAGAGTAGCACTGTTAGTTTTGACCCAGGAGACCATTTGAAATGAATATGACCAAAATGTGAATTTGATGTTAATTGTTGGACAATTTAAGAGTAGGCTTGGCAAAAAGTACGAGAACAGAGCACAACAGCGCCTCCCACTGGAAGAAAAGTGTGTCGGGTGACTGTAGTGTAGCATTGGCTCCCTCTGCTGGTCATACCCGCATACAGCACAACCAATAGAATTGTGTCTATGAATGGGAAAAAATCAGTCAAAATAATTAGTTTTTTAAAAATAAAAAAACAATACATTTTAATATAATATATAATAATAATTAAAATCATGTGCTCATAACAGGACTCCCCTACACAGATTTTTTTTTTTTGAGTGAACTATTAATTTAAAGTAAATATTTCTCTGCACTTACAAGCTGCAAATGATAACTTCACACTTATTTGACTGAGAGGGGCAAATCCATCTAAATGTAAATGTTTATGAGTCCAGATACACCACATGTTCACATCTGATGACAGAAAACATTTTTAGAGAGAGTTTTTTTGGATTTCTTTCAGTCTAACGGTATAAAAGGCAGTGCTTTTCTTTGAAAGTCAGTTGCCCCTTTTCAGAATTGTGCTACTATATTATTATTATATTGCATAGGCTATTCATTATCTTTTTTACTTAACCTGTTAGAGATGTCTTCATTATTTAATGTTGCCTATGAATAGTCTAAACCTCACATGAAAACACATTTGTACTAAAGCCACTGTTTAAATGTTTAAGACCAGGGCTATTCAAGTAGATTATCAAATTGAAAATTTGAAGGGGGCCAAGGGGGTGGGGGGCCATCCCGATCTCTTTCTGGGGGGCCTATAAAATTAGAAATTAAATTTAAATGCATATTCAGCAGAAAAAATAACTAATATCACCAACATATAAAAGGTTAGTGTTGTCTGTCAATCGATTAAAACAAAATTAACTAATTAATCGCATATTTTTCTGTATTAAATCGTTATTAACTGCATATTAATATATTGTTATAATTTCACATTGAACCTCCAAATTAATGTAGAAACAACATAAAGATGGTCGGCTATATTTTAAATATGTGTTTAATGGCATCTCTTTACTAAGTAGCCTATTAACAAAGGCCAGTATTTTTGATACCAATACTGCTACTGATGCCTTAATTAACATATGTTTGTGATGCACATTATTATTATTTGTATATCTTTTAAGTTCTATATATATATATTTTTTTTTACTTTTATTTAAATCGTGTTTCAATTTGTACTTACAACATGTGTAAATGTGAGAAATAGGTCAGGAATTTGCTGTTGAATTCTTTAATTTTGAAAGTTGAATTAATAAATAAATAAAAAGCTGAAAACAAAAACAACAACAACGAGAACTGGTAGTTGCCAGTAGTAATAGAGAGCCGTACTTCCAGTGAAAAGTCTCTCCAATATGGCGGCCCCCTTGGAGTTGTTCTGTTGGAAAGGCGATTATGGATTAGCTTCAGTAGATGCCGACTGCTTAACTGTGCTGGTATGAGGAAAACACACCGGTCGGCTGCATATAGTGCAATAGTTCCGTCTGTTTTGTGTTTAAATGTGTTGTATTTGTGTGTCGGCTGTCAGGAGAGATGGGAGGTGACTTACTGCACGTGTGAGAGAAGGGGTCAGAATAACACTCTGTATGAGCTCATGCTTTAAACGCTATCGTATATCACACATTTGTTTAACTGATAATCTATCGAGCCATCCTCATGGTTCAGTGAATGGGTTACAGCAATGGCTGTACTTTAAGGGTCATAAATGAGATTACATTAGGTCAGACACACTGCAATAGGTGTACGTTATTCCAGTTATCATGTTCATGTTTCATGATCAGTGTCACAGACATCTGATTGGTGACCCAGTAACAGTGTAGAAGCTTTCATTTTCTCATTCAAGTCATGATATTTCATTGTTTCAAATATAAAAATAATGTAAGCCATAATTGTAATATATTTTCATTATTCAAAAAAAAATACATTTGATTGATATTAAGTTCCCCTTAAGATTATTTATTAATTTCTTGATTTTGACAGTTAAGCCATTGGCATATCTTTATGATATTTTCGACAAAGCCCGTATGCAATATCACTGTACTGCGCGCTTAATATAGAGCATCTTAAAGGAATGCTCAGGCCATCACCCTCAGGCCATCCAAAATGTAGAGTTTGTTTCTTCATGGGAACTTTTAGCATTAGACCACTGTCTCACCAGTGGATGCTCTGCAGTGAATGGGTGCCGTCAGCATGAGAGTCCAAACAGCTGATAAAAACATCACAATAATCCACACAACTCCAGTACATCAGTCAATGTCTTGTTAAGTGAAAAGTTGTGCATTTGTTAGAAACAAATCCATTAAGATGTTTTTAATTTTCATCTAAAATCAAAGTCCCCTATCTATAATATTGCTTTCTGAAGTGAAAAAGCCGTCTCGTCTGAATCAGGAGAGAAATATGCACAGATCAAGCACCGTCGACAAACAAATATGTTGATGGTTTTTTGATGAGAGAACAACAGGCGATAGATTTTTTTTTAGTATAGCCAGCATTATTATGGATTATACAATTGTATGTTGGCCAGAAGTGATGGTTTATAGTAAAAAATGACGGCACCCATTCACTGCAGAGGATCCATTGGTGAGCAAATGATGCATTTCTCCAAATCTGTTCTGATGAAGAAACAAACTACATCTTGGATCAAATTTTCATTTTTGTGTGAACTACTGCTTTGGGGATGGCACAAGAACATTTCTTACTGTTACTCTGACCCCCCACCCCCTTTAAAAGCAGAAATGCTGAGTGTTCACATCTACTATAAGTCCCGTTGTTTTTAAAAAAAGAAAGAAGACATCAATGATAGTGTGTAGTGGCCATG